ATATAACCCCTCACCCATCTCCAAACTTGAGTCTGTACCCTGACAAGTCAACGGAGTCGGAAGCTGGAGAAGGCCAAAGTCCCTTGGGGGTTACGATGGCATAGTGCCTGTGCTTGTCACTGCCTGTGTAGCTGTCAGTGAAGGAAGAAAAGGCACAACTGAAGCCACAGAGCACAAGGAGAATGGCGCTGAGGGACTTGCTGGTGGCATTGCATTGACCACCGCTGGTCAAAACGGGGTTGAGGAATTGGAAGACGAAGACGTGCCTGTAGGGAGAAGCTTTACGAGGCTTCCAACTGCTGAGAGTGTCGTGTTTGACAGTGTCACACTCCCTGTACCATTGATTTTTGAGCTATTTGTGGATGAACTGTCAGGAATCATTTTCTGGTTTTGTGTTTACTGTTTTTTTTTTTTTTTTACTTGTCTAGGCCTGAAACTTTGCACATTAGTTTGTGCCTTTTTTCTTTCATTGCCCAATGCTCGTGTTGATCTTATGGAAGCATAAATGGGTTCTGAATTTAATTGTCTTGGAAGCATTCGAGCATTCTATGTGCTGTGAAAATTCAGAGCAATCTTAAAAGACCATGTCATGGTCTTTTCTTATAGCAAATTGCTCTACTCCATGCCTTGCACATTGAACCATTCAAAATATTTTCAGAATAAAAGTCAGACATAAAAATAAATAAATACCCACCAACTCATATAGTCAGACAAAAATAAGCAGTATTGCAGTAGGAGACACGTTCCAGTTTTGATTGTGTGTGAAGAAATATGTTGAAACTTATCCTAAACTAATTATAATAAGAGCTCCTATATTTTGTGATGGCTAGTTAATGTGTAAGAAAACGAGTAAAAATAAAGAAAATTTTAAGAATAGGAAATACATCCATTATTCAATAAGAATAAGTAATGAACCTCATCTCATTACAAACAAGTCTGGTTTTGATTAATTAAATAAATAAATAGTTTACAAGGAAAAAAAAAGTAAGAAAGTTCAATTTGCACGCTTCAACTTGTGAATGAAATAATTATTTTTTTATACCTTAATCTCTAAATTTAGGATTTTCCTCAAAATAGTGTAATTTTTTCCTGTATTTACCTAAATTAATAAATTTTAAAAAATTATAAATTTATATAAATCATGATTTATAATTTTTATTTTATTTTATTTTAGATCTAAAAAGAAGTTTTTCTATGCATACTACTTGTAGTTTTTATATTATAATAATAACATTATTTTATTATTAATAATAATAAAATAATTGAAATTATATTACCATTGATAGTATTATCTTATTATTAATAATAATATTATAATCAATAATAAAATAAATAATGATAAATATATTTATATTATTAATATAATTAATAATTATATATTTTATATTAATATTATTTTATTATTAAAACTATTATTATTATTTTAATATTAATAATAGTATTAATAAAAATAATATAATAATTATCAGTTTTATTAATAATAATATAAATTTACTTTTTTTAATTTAGAAAAAAATTACACATCATAACGAAATATCCTAAACTTGAAACCTTAAATCTAAAATCAAAATTATTAATTTAATTTTATATTATTTTATTATAAATTCAATTTATATTTTTTTTAAATATTTATTGTGATATCTTTCTACAATATGATATATGAATTACTCCAAATATATATATATATATATATATATATAAAAGCAAAACTTCAAAGTTAAGTGATACTCTCAATCAACTTGAAGTCAATATTGAACAAAGATCCAGTCTAGACACAATTTTTTATCCCACTTTAATATATCAAACAGTCAATATAAGATATTCTTATAATTAGTAGGGTACCATTTAAAATAATAATTTATTTTCACTCTTGTCCAAAACAACATTTATGAGTTTTAGTTTATTTCATATTCAACTTAAGAATATAACGAGAGATAGACACAAGAATAAATTTAATTTCTTAAAATAATGATATATTTGAACAATTTATTAAAAAATACTTCTATAAAAATAAACTTTTTTATTAATAAAAACTAATTTATATATTCGTAGTTTATATAAATTTGTTTCATTAAGATATGTATGAATTAATTTAAATTTTGAAAAAAAAATATTTTAGATTTTTCTTTTACAAAGAAGTAGTTTAGCATAAATTAATATCAAAAGCCGGCTTGATTTGTACAAGTCATTAATGATTCTTTGATCCGTGAATTAATAGTGATTAAAAGATAACGTAAATTATATGAAAAACCAGAGGCTCCCCTAGCATTCAGCTCATCAGTTTTATGCATTTTTATTTTTAGCTAATTTTATAATAAAAAAATAAAAATGAGAAAAGTTAAAAGGATGGATTTAACTTTTTGATGTCATTAAATCAATAAATCAATTTCTTAAAATAATATATTTAAAAAAATTACCTAAATAAAATATTAATAAATGTATTTATCTAATAAGACCAGTTTATTACTCATTAACAAAATTCAGTAATAGAAAAGTAAATCTATCTGATATAATATAATTAGTTTGTTCTTTTTTTATTTTTTATTTTTTTTCACTTTTTATTTATTTATTGTATTTTTTTCCTATCCTTTTATTTATTTATTTTTCTCCTTTGTCAATTATTTTATTCTTTTGATTAAAAATATTAATTTAAAATTTTAAAAAATAAGTTGTTTCATATTTAAAAAAAATAAAAATATTTGAATTATCTAAAAATATTATAATTTTATATATTATATTTTAAAAAATATTATATTATAAATTGGAAGTATTATAAATTATTATGTTATAATTATTAAGAAAATACATGTCTTGAGTAAAAAATATATATATACATTTTTTAAAATATTAAAAGTAAAAAAAATTAACTAATTATTTAAAATTATAATGACAATAAATAATTTTATTTATTATAACAGTAACTAACTTTATTTATAATAATATAAATAATTAATTTTAAATTATTTTATCATCATAAATCAATTATTCATTTAAATAAAACATATAATTAAATGTATTTTTATTTAATAATTTAATTTAATTATAATTAAGTTGAGTTATAAAGATCTTAGTAATGTTAAAAAATATTTATTAAAAAGTTACTTTAAAATAAATATATATAAATTTTTGTAATAATTATAACATAACCATTTGTAATACCTCAATTTTATAATATAATATTTTTTAAAATATAATATATTAAATTATAATATTTTTAGATAATTTAAATATTTTTATTTATAAAAAAAATTATTTTATCAAATTTTAATTTAATAATTTTAATTAAAAGAATAAGATGAGTGAGAGAAGAGGGGTGTGAAAAAAAGGAAAACAAGTACTAGGATATAGGAAAAAGAATAGGAAGTAAATGAAGAAAGAGAAAAATAAAAAATAAAAAAATAAGGAAAGAGAATAAAATACTTATATTACATAAGAGGAATTTATTTAATTTTGTATATGAAACTAGTTGGAAAAATAAATTTACAAATATTTTAATTAAATATTTTTTTTGTTTTTTAAATATATTATTCAAAAAATTGATTCTAAATTAGTGTCTTTAAAAAATGATAAAAATAAATTAATGTAGTGATATATATATATATATATATATATATATATATATATATATATATATATATATATATATATGCTTGAATTATTCAAGAAAATTATTTCTGAAAAATCAAATAGATTTTGTTTGTCACAACCAAAAAAACAACAAAATGTGAAATGAAAAATGTTTGTTTTAATTGATCGTCAAATTTTATTGAAAGGAAAATTTAAAAAAATTTATTATCAAGAAAAGTAAAATTATTTATAAAAACTAGTTAGGTTTGAATATAAAATATTTGCGTAAACGAGTAAGTTCACCCCTTAAAAAAAAATAGAGGTGAAAATATGAAATTATAAAATTCGCTAACTATGCCTAAAATAAATATCTATATGTCAACATGAAGTTCTAACTTTTTATAAAGATCTCTAAAATAAATATTTTTTTTATCTATGTTGAAATAAATGTTAAGAACTAAGAAAAGTACTCATTTTAATTTTAAGAAGGATAAAAATCATAGAAATATATTTACATAGATTAAAACAACTTTTTACTCATTTTAAAAGATTTCAAAATTTAAAGGATAAAAAGAATTAAGAAGTAATATATTTTATTTTATAATAAATATTTATTTGAATTCTCAAATCCATTATATAATAAAAATATTTTTATATCAATTTATATTATTGTAATAATGTATAGTTATCGATTAATTAGTTATAATTAACATTAAATATATATATATATATATATATAATTTATTATTTAAAATACTTTTTAATAATGTATTATTACTGATTAATAAGTTATAATTAACATTAAATATATATATATATATATATAAAATTTATTATATTAAAATACTCTGAAAATAAATACAATCACTCTATTATTTATATATCTAATTCTAATTTAAAAATTTACTTAAATTTTGCACGTGAATTTTAATTTTTTTTTTTTACATTTTTACAGAACTTAAGGTGATCCAAAAATAACAATTAGCCCGAATATATAATTTATCTGAAGTTATTTATTATTATTGTAATTTTTTTTATGATATCAATTACATATTGAGTATTGAAATCCAAAGAAGTGGTGGGCAAAAGAAAATCCTAAGACCAACAACACCAATTTCACAGTCTACAAAATTATAAATAATTAAACTAAAATGAAATTCCTAAATGGGTAACAAACATGGTATGAGATAAAAATTTGGATATAACAGAACATAATTGCTGAGAAGCAACCTGGTCAAATACACAACGCTTTCTAACCAACCAAACTTTCCACCATTAAACTACTCATCACAGTACAGGTCGCTGAAAAGAAAAAGACTATTCTTCACTTTAAAGGCTAAGCCTAAAACAATACCATTTCATGCCATGCATGCGGGTATGTACATAGTTAGCAGCAGCATGCACCACATTTTCATGGCAACAAACTATTAACACTAAGCATTGTCGATCGATTTTTTCTCAGGGTCGGTAGTATCATTGGATTTTGGGGAGGTGTCGTTGGAATCAGAAGTTAAAGGGTATCCTATTCCATGGCGATTATTGGGGAAAATCATGAACACCCCACCCGCAAACACCCCAATAACTGTGGGCAGCACCTGAAGCAGAATCTTCTGAGTTGACTCAAAACTAGGGTAGAAGCAGTGCACAGTGTTGGTGTCCAACAGCCCCAACACAGCAAACACTAACAACGATAAAACAGCATGCACAAAGTCCCCAACCCCGAGTCTCTGCCCTGACAAGTCAACGGAGTTGGAAGCCGGAGAAGGCCAGAGTCCCTTGCGGGTTACGAAGCCATAGTGCCTCTGGTTGTCACTGCCTGTGTAGCTATCAGTGAAGGAAGAAAAGACGCAACTGAAGCCACAGAGCACAAGGAGAATGGCGCTGAGCCACTTGTTGATGGCGTTGCATTGACCGCTGTTGGTCACAACGGGGTTGAGGAACTGGAACACGAAGACTGTGCCTGTAGGGAGAAGCTTTATGAGGCTACCAACTGCTGAGAGTGTCGTGTTTGTCACATGCCCTGTACCTCCGTTTCTGCTGCTATTTGCTTTTGTGGATGAACTCTCTTCAACCATTTTTGGTTTTCTTTTTCTCTACTTGTAATCTTGCAACTGCAGACTTGTAGGTGAAATTCACATGCGCGCCCTGGTGCTTGTGTTTTGATCTAATGGAAGCAGAAATATATAGTGCCTTCAATTCTTATTTACAATGCTTAAGACATTTATGAGCTTTGAAATTTCTGCACAAACTTAGAAAAGACCGAGACCTTTCATCACAGTAAACTGCATTATCACTACATGCCATACGCGTTGAACGAGTCCCGAAATTTTCCTGAATGAAAAGACAAGGAAAAAACACACACCACACAGTATAAGTGTCATATTACAATCACACGCACGAAACTATTCACTTAATTCTGATATTACGAGTAAAGTATTGAAATACAAATCCAACAGAAACGGAGAAAGACGATGTGAAAGTGAAGAGAAAATTTTAAGACCATTAAATTGAAAAAAACATAAGTAAATAAAACATTAAAGCCAAAAACTAAGTTAAAAGATTAAGACTTGTGAGTGGCGGGGATAAAAGATATATATAGAAATATTAATATAAGTAATTAAAATATTATTATATTTGAACTACGTGTATATATATATATATTAATTAATATCATAATTCTTCGTATCTAAACCATTAATATTGAGTATTAAGTAAATATATGTTTTATTAGACTATCAAATTTTAAAACATTGATTGGTTTGAAACAAAAGAAAAGGTTAAAAATATGAGACGAAGATGTAGTATTATAGTTTTGTGGACTGAACACTACTACAGAAAACACTTTCTACGACAGCATCTAACGTCGGTTATCACGAAGATCGACGTTGTACAAGACGCGGTGGCAAACTTGTAAATATGAAACAAAATTTAACGTCGGTTATATAATAACCGACGTAGTAACTGCAATTCAACGTCGGTTATATGACAGACGACGTTAAATGTTTAAATTTAACGTCGGTTATGTATAACCGACGTTGAATTCCCAAAATCAACGTCGATTACATGACTTACCCGACGTCGAAAGCGTTATCCACGTCGGGTTTTTTAATAACCGACGTTGAATGTCCTTTATACCTCTCCTCCTAGGCGCGCTGCCCCCTCGTCTGCTTCTTCTTCGTCCCACATACTCCCTCCTTCTGCTTCTTCTTCGCTGTGCCTCAGTCCTCACTACTGCCCCCTCGCCGCCCACTTCGCCGCCCCCTGGCTCTGCCCCCTCGCCGCCCACTCGCCGCGCTCTCATCAGGTTAGATTAAGTTGTATGGATGATTTACAGCATGCATTTAACATAAATATGGATTATTTAGAGCATTTCCTGCGGAGGAACATTAGAAAGATGATGGATGATTTTGTATATATGGTTTGATTTGATCTAGGTTCGTTTAGGTTTCGAAGTGGTATATGGAACATTAGGTTTCGTTTAGGTTTAGGTTTAGGTTTAGGTTTCGAAGTGGTATTTGGAACATTAGAGCATGTATGGAACATTAGAGCATTGTTAGGCAATGTACACGTTTTTTTGTATTGTTTTGTTAAACCTTTTCTAATAAACCTTGAATATCTAGGCAAGCCTTTTTGTGTAGTTAGATGGATCGAACTTGGGTCAATGCAAGTCGTATGTCGAAGAGTATGAGAATGGAGTTGAATCCTTTTTGAAATTTGCCGAACAAAATGCTCCCAAAATGAATGGAAAAATCTACCGCCCATGCGTTAATTGTGTAAATGGCAGAGTACAAGAGATGGACACAACGCGGAGCATCTTATTTGCGATGGGATGATGAAGAATTACACCATATGGACATGGCACGATGAAGTGGTTGATATTCCAACAGTATCACAAACTATTGAGGATGATGTAACCTCGCGAAGATCGAATAGAGGACATGCTTTGTGATGTGGGTCAAGAGAGCTTTCTTGAAGCACATGCATCTATATATGATACATTGAGGACCGATTCGTAGACACCTTTGTATCCTGGATGTACAACTTTCACACGGTTGTCATCCGTGTTAAGATTGGTCAATCTAAAAGCAAAATTTGGTTGGAGTGATACAAGTTTTAATGAATTACTCCAACTTTTGAAGGAGATGCTCCCGAACAATAACACCTTGCCGGACCGTATGTATGAAGCGAAGAAGATACTATGTCCGATGGATTTAGAATATAGGAAGATACATGCTTGCCCTAATGATTGTGTGTTATACAGGAAAGAATTCTCATCTTTAGACCAATGTCCAACATGTGGTGTATCACGTTACAAAACGAAGGATGGTGATGATTGTAGTCGGGAGAGTGGTAAAAAACGTCCTCCTGCAAAAAGTTTTATGGTATCTTCCAATTATTCCAAGATTTAGGCGGTTGTACGCTCACAAAGATGCTCGAAAATTTAATTTGGCATTCAAAGAGAAAAACATCTGATGGGCAAATGCGACATCCATCCGACTCTCCCCAATGGAAGAATTTTGACCGTCTATTTCCAAGTTTTGGTAGTGATGCAAGAAACCTTAGACTTGGATTAGCAACAGATGGGATGAATCCTTTTGGAAATTTAAGTAGTAACCATAGTTCATGGCCCGTTTTATTGATGATTTACAATCTTCCACCATGGTTATGCATGAAGCGCAAATATGTCATGTTGTGTATGATGATTTCAGGTCCAAGACAGCCAGGAAATGACATAGATGTGTATTTGAGTCCTTTGATAGAAGACTTAACACTATTATGGGAGGAAGGAGTAGATGCATTTGATGGGTATCAGCAGCAGAAGTTCAAGTTGCATGCAATGTTATTTTGCACCATTAATGACTTCCCGCCTATGGAAACTTGAGTGGGTATAGTGTGAAGGGGCATTATGCTTGTCCTATTTGTGAAGAAGAGACCAGTTATATACAATTGAAACATGGAAAGAAGACAGGTTTATAACGAGCACGAGAAAATTTCTCCCGCATGACCATCCATACCGTAGACCGAAGAAAGCTTTTAATGGCATACAGGAGGATGAAATTGCCGGAGAACCATTGACCTGGTTTAGAAGTTTACGATCGAGTGAAGAACATAAGCATTACATTTGGAAAGACCCAAAAAAGGTCTTCTGACAAGAACATGTGGAAGAAGAGATCAATTTTCTTTGATCTTCCATATTGGAGCCATTTAGAAGTACGACATTGTATTGATGTTATGCATGTGGAGAAGAATGTATGTGATAGTCTCATTGGCACATTGTTAAACATTCAAGGAAAGTCAAAGGATGGGATCAAAGCACGTCAAGACCTTTGTGAGATGGGAATACGTCCCGAATTACATCCAAGGCCTGAAGGCAATAGAACATATCTACCACCAAGCATGTCACACCTTGTCAAAGAAGGAGAAACGTAGTTTATGTCATTGTCTTGCAAGTATTAAAGTGCCACAAGGATACTCTTCAAATATTAAGAGTCTTGTATCCATGAAAGATCTGAAGTTAATTGGATTAAAGTCCCATGATTGTCACGTTTTGATGCAACAGCTTGTTACCCGTGGCTATACGTAACATATTGCCTAAGAATGTTAGACATGCCATTATGCGACTATGTTTTTTCTTCAATTCTATTTGTGCCAAGGTTATCGATGAAAAATCACTAGATGAGTTGGAAAATGAGGCTACTGTTGTGCTATGTCAATTGGAGATGTATTTTCCTCCATCATTCTTTGATATAATGATTCACTTAATCGTTCATGTTGTGAGGGAGATACGAATTTGTGGGCCGGTTTATTTGAGGTGGATGTACCCAATTGAGCGATACATGAAGATCTTCAAAGGGTATTCTAAAAATCCATATAGACCTGAAGCTTCAATTGTTGAGCGGTATATTGCGTAAGAAGCCATAGAATTTTGTTCAGATTACTTGGCAAGAGTCGTACCTGTGGGTGTACCTAGAAATCGTCATGATGATAGGCTAAATGGTAAGGGAACTCGTGGTATTAGAATTCAAACAAAAGATCATGTAGAGTTGACCACCGCCCACTTGTATATTTTGAACAATACGTAAGAGGTTATTCCTTACATAGATGCGCATAAAGCAATGTTAAAGGACCTAAACCCCAAAATGGGTGAAAGGTGGTTGATGAAAGAGCATAACAACAACTTTATCAATTGGTTTCAAAGCAAAATATTTTCAAGTGACAATGCCTCCGATACACTCGAAATGGCTAGCACATGGGCCTAGATATAATGTTATAACTTGGCAAGGGTATTACATTAACAAATACTCATTCTATACGAAGGCACAAGATGACAAAAGTACGGTCCAGAATAGTGGAGTATCTATTGAGGCAACATCTATGCACTTTTCTAGTGCAAAGGACAAAAACCCCATCATGGCATCAATTAGTTACTTTGGAGTGATTGAGGAGATTTGGGAGGTCGACTATACTAAATTCAAAGTGCCTTTATTTAAATGTAAATGGGTTGATAGCAATACTCGGTGTCCAAAGAGACCAAATGGGATTTACTTTGATTGATATAAACAAGATTGGTCATAAGGAAGAACCCTTCATAATGGCATACCAGGCAAAACAAGTGTTTTATGTCACTGATCCATCAAATGATAGGTGGTCGGTTGTCCTCAAAGGAAAAATGATTGATGTCCAAATGAGAATGGAGAAGAATTAGATGATTTTATTAACATTCAAAATTCACCACGGTTGCCTATTGCTATATCCCAATTGGAAGAGGACTTTGTTCATGCTACTCGCAATGACCATGATGAAGGCATATGGGAAAATATTAATACAATCTAAGTTATGTTTCTATTTATTTATTTTTTTAACATGTAATTGAGGAGACTTTGCATGTGTATTGATATAATTCTATGTTTTTTTCATTACAGGTAAATGGCATCTCCTCCACCATCTCCTCAGTGCATCCGGAAAGACATTTTCCAGGTAAGAGGAGTCGACAATCTACACGGTTGAAAGGCTTGACCGTTAGACACATATCCGGCCGGAAGTTATCCGTTTCTGTTGATCCTAGGACTGGCAA